GACTTTAAGAGTCATTTTGAACACTTTTGAGTCATTTAGACTCATTTTGGTCGAGCTGTTCAAGTTATTTTTAGTGATTTTGGAAAGATTTCAAGTCCTTTGGGACAAATTTCATGTAATGTTTGACCAGGATTGAGCCATTCACACATTTATAGTGATTTTAGATGTATTTTAAGTCATTTTGGACACATTTTAGGTCATTTTTAGTCATCTTAGGCAGTCTGAGTCGTTATAAACACTCTGTGAGCCATTTGAGACAAATTCAGAGTCATTATGAAACTGTTCAAATCATTTGGGACAAATTCTGAGTAATTTTTGAAAAGGTTGGAGTCATTCTGACCAAGATCTAAGTCATTTTTAATGATCTTGGAAAGGTTTCAACTAATTTGGGACAAATTCTTGTCATTTTGGAAATTCTGGTAAAATAAATAATCAAGGAAATGAAATTTCTGTATGAATTGTGTCTTTGGGACCGAGTCCTGCTGAGTTCTGTCTCCTCCTTCATGGTTCTGGTTCCTCAGAGCTGCAGGACTTTAGTGAAACATGAAGCTCAGTGAAGGAACACGAGACAGAACGCATCCAGAACCAGCTGTGGGTTAAACTGCTGCTAACGCTGAAGCTGATTGCTGGTTTCAGGCGGAACCACGACGTTGGGCTCATGTGAGGGTTTGTTCTGATCGATCGGTCGGAGAGCAGCTTCAGTTTCAGTGACTCAGGTCTTCTTTGGGTTACTGCAGCTCCATGTGCTACTTCTATTTTGGGTTTTTTTCTGACTTCATCGATCCTCTCGTGGAACCGAAGCTCAACCTTCACCGACAGCGGCGGCTCGGTGAACCCAGGAATCAGACTAACCGCCGTGAATGAGCGAGCGCTGAGCGGACGGCGGGGCTTCGTGGCACCTGAATGTAATTTGCCAGCGTGAGGCGAGCCTGCAGGCCTCCGTCAGCAGCAGCTGCACTCCGTCGGCTCCACAAGGCCTTTCTCTAAATACCTGGAGTGTCGGCAGCAGCAGATATGGACCTGTGTGCCGGAGCAGATGGAGCTACAGCGGCTGATACGATAGAAACTCCCCGCGGACGCCGTGCGTCGGCTCCGGCCTGCCGCCGCGAATTTGTTTTCTGAATTGTATCATTTCCCCAAAGCGCCTGAATGCAGCGGGTTTGTTGAAGGCGGCGAGCGAAGGCGTCCGGTGTCAGAGGAGGTTATGCAGCAGCAGCCGTATGATAATGACTCATCTGCATGCTCTAATGATGCCTCTAAACAGGCCCGTGGATCTGCACGTCATGTATATTTCAGCGGGGCGATAACGATCGCAGCGCTGCCACGGCGCTCTCGATGGTTTTTCCTCCGCTGAAAAGAGCTTTTTCCTCCCCGTCGAGCGATAAGATCTGATTGGCTCTCCCACCCAGGCGACGGGAGGAGATATGCTAATGAGGCGCTGACAAAGAGGCCGATGGAGGACGGAGATAAACGCCGTGTGTTTGAATAAACACGAGTGTGCGTCTTTGTCATCATTACGGCTCCACGTCTCAGTGACGGTGAGCTTTATTGAACAGGAGACGAGCTGCTGCTTTAATGATCTCTGCTGCTGCTGAACACGCTAATAAGAAACACAGGCTCAGGTTCTGACCACAGGATGGATCACCAGCTTCACCGTCAGTCGCCTTAAGAGCAGAAACACTGAATCGTTCAGTTTATTTCACTGCTGCTGCATGTTCCAGATGATTTCACTGAAACTCTTCTTAATTTTCTGTATTCATCCAGTTGAGACGACGAGTTAACATCATTAATCAACTAGTCAATGATGAACTCACACAGTGAATTAATAAGTTCCAATCCAAGAAATAAATCTTCACATTTCCAAGTTACTGAATATCTCTGAATATAAATGAAAGGACCATGAGTAGATCTGACTAGAGCAGGACGTCCTCA